GTGAACGGGAAGAGGGCGGCGGGAAGGACGGCGAAACCCTATCTCTCTCCCTTCACCAGCGAACCCAGCACAGTTACAGGCAGAAAAAAAGTTACAGGCAGGGTAAAATTAAAGCTTTTCATTTATCGGCCCGGCTCGCAGCTTTCGCTTCAGCAGGGGGAAAAAACCACTTCCAGAGCCTGAGGTGCAAGAACCAGCTTAATTGTCAGATTCCAGGCACGGAGCCCAGGGCAGGAGGGGGAACTCCACGGTGGCATTTGCTATACAAGTCCCCCTGCCTAAGTCACCCCATCTGAGTCCCGACGGAGGCGGAAAGAGGCGACCGGGCCATCCCCGTGCTGCCCCGGCCTGCCGGGGGAGCGGGGCTGGGGGTGCCAAAGCCGAAACAACACCGGAGAGGTTTTATTCCGGGCTTTGCATAAATTGTCCTGAAGTAAAGGGAAGGCACTTCGGCGCTGTCTGGCTGCTGCATTGGCGTGCTGTACCCTGGCACCAGCCTGCCCGGCTTCGTCCGCGCTCTCCAGCCGGTCTGAACCGGGAGGGAAGGGGCCCGATGATCTCCTAAGTGCCCGGCGGGAGGAGCTGGGATCCGACAGCGGTGGGCAGGAGCCCCGAAGGCCCGATACCTGCCCCGCCGCCGGGGAGCGGAGCTGTCGAGGAGCTCCCATCCGGCTCGCAGCGCAGCGGACCCAAGCACCGGGCAAAGGGGAGGCCCCTCGCCAAGGCCGGCTTTACGTCAAGGTCAAAACTCTTTCTTTGACGGCCAGAAAAGGCGAGACTCGTTAGGGCTTGAAAGGATCGGGGGGTAAGAAAGGAATAAAAATTTAAAAAAAAAAATAGAAAAAAAGTAGCAAGGAAAGGAGAATGTTTTTAGATGGAGCGCCTGGACAGCTCCAAAATCTTTTTCCTCTGCAGAATTCCGGAGGGGTGAAAGCAAAACCTGCCCTGGCCCCGCTCGCCCCCCGCAGCCCTCAGGCGACTTCGGCAACCGCCGGTGGGACCCCGCCACGGCAAACACGCACATCAGCACAGGGATCCCGCCGGCAGGATTTATTCAACCCGGGCTCGCCGGTTTGCAGCATCCCTTCCCAAGCGTTTGAAAGGAATAACTGACCAAAAGACCCTGGGGAACCCTTGGGGACCTGCAGAGGCCCCGGGGTCCCAGCGGTTCCCGCCGCCACGATGAGAACAGGGAGATTGGCACAACTTCTCGCAAGGAAACCCTAATAGGCTATTTCTGGACTACTGGCTCTTAACAAATCTATAGCACCTGAAGTGTTAGCACTCAATTAGTGACAAGGTTTCAAACTCCGGCGTTTACTGGCGAGGTATAAACAGAGTCCTCGGGAGATAGCCGGGAATTAGAGCGGGAGGGGGCCCTGGACATCTTAACCGACTGGGATTAAGAGGAAAAGTTTTTTAAAAGGTCCCATCTCTCTCTAAACAGTCCGAGGTGTCGAAAGCTCAGGGGTAGAGAGGATGTGCTCTCTGGAGTTAATTGCGGGATTGGAATTTTTTTGGTTTTGTTTGTTTGTTTTCAGCAAGAAAAGTTTTAAATTTTTGTGGTATCTTTTCTTTTCTTTTTTTTTTTCTTTTTTTTTTTTTTTTTAGGAAAAAAGGAAACGCACACAAAACACAACAAACCCAACACGAATCGCACTTAGCAATCCCGGAGAGAAGCCGCGAGCGGGTTTGGACGACACCCCTCGCCTGCGAGGGGCTTTTCTGGGCATGGGGGGCCAGGGCAGGCTCAGTCCTGAGGGGGCAGCGAGAGCAACCTGCAAACAACGTGAAGGCGATCGGGGGAGAACAGAACACCTCTGCTTTTCCCTGCCAGCCAGAAAAACAACAGCGTCTTTGCTCGCCCCGTCTCCAGTCCACACACCCACAGGGCCTGGGTCCCGGCTGGAGGAGTGGGCTGGAGAAGGTGTTTCAGGGCGCTGCTCCGGGGTCCTGCCTCCCTTTACTCTTTTTTGCGTGTTAATTAAACGCAGTCAAAAGCGACCCCGCAGAAAGTAAAAGGGGTGCGGGAGAGCTCGAGGTGCGGGGGGTCCCTCCCCTCCACCCCTGCCCCGCGACTCAGCTGGGGCACCCGGGAAGGTCCCCCCGGGCCGGGCAGGGGCCGAGTGAGGCTCCTGAGGGCTGCGAGCAGAGTCCGGAGCGGGGAGAACCGGTGGCCTTTGCCCACTCCGCTGGACAGTCGGAGTCTGGCTTCAGCGGGCTGCTGGGGAGCACCGGGAAAGGGAGAAAGAGGGGGTGGGAAAGGGGAGAGGAATGGGTGCCGAGCCCCGACCCGGAAAGTCCGTGAGCTGCTGTGTGTCAGTAACTTATTCATCAATCAGCCGGACACAGAGCAGACCTGGCCTCTCTTTGCGGAGTGTTTGCTTTTTCACCAATTATTGCGGCCCTGCAGCTCTTTTTGTTGATACAGTAGTTCTAAAAAGTGCTAATGTTCATTTATCAGGGAGCCGAACCCGGGACTCCCACTAGTTGTGATTCTTCCAAAAATATAAACACGAAGAGAAGGGCTAAGGCTAAAGCCCCCATTTGTTTCTAAACCGCAGTATTAAAAGTGATGCATTGTTGAAGATAAAGCGGAGATAACGCTGTCTGTCTCCAATGAATGTCTCCCCGACGCATTAATGACATTCCAAATGATAGCTCCGGCTTATCGTTCAATTAATCACTTCCACCCTCTGCAGCCGGGCCCACATCGATCGGGAGCCGCCGTGTGACTGGGGGGCTGGAGGGAGCCCGTCAATCCTCAGTGGATCGCGGACTGTCGGCCGGCAGTGCCCGCCCCGCCGGGATGCGCCCCGGGCCCGCAGGGGGACAGGTCGGACAGAGGGAAACCGCCGGGGCAGGAGGCACTGCCGTGCGAGCTCCCGGCCTGACCTGGGAAGGGCCTTTTGGGCCCGGGATGGAGGAAGGGAGCGCTGGACGCCGTTTCTGCCGAGAGGTGGATGTCACCAAGGCGGGCGAACCTGCGGCCGCGGCTCTGGGTTTGGGAGGGATCGGGATCACTTCGCTATTTTAGTATTTATCTAACTTACCCCTATTAGCTTGCATTAAAAAGGAGGCAACGAGATTAGAAAACCCGCCGGGCAATGCGGAGGGCAAGGGGTGCCCCAGACAGCCAGGAAAGTCCCGTCGCAGGCCCCTCTCCTGAGCCGGGTTGCTGAGGCTGCCTCTACCTTCCCCAGGCGCTTCACCCCTTTTCCTGCAACCGAGGAACATCCCCTTCGAGTTGTGTCCCAGGGAATTCTGCAGGAAGCGCAGCCGCGAAGAGCGAGATGGCCGCTTAGCCACCTCCTCCCATCATTAAATAGCAATATTTCAGGCCTCCCCGTTCACAGTGATCGCACCGACTGTCATCGCAAGATCCGGATCTGGTTCGCCAAAAAACTGTTCTCAGGACACCCGCAGGCGTCTGCAGCGAGGGGCTGCGAGCACCGGGGTTGCTGCTGCTGCTCCGGCCAGCGATCCCCAGAGAGCAGGGCGGGTCACAGCATGGCCTCCCAAACCATCCTGAATTAAATTCCCCAAAAGTGAGCCCGAAGGTACCGAGACACAAAAATCTCGGGGGACAGCTGCGGGGGGCACACGGGCAGGTCCGTTCGGGAGCAGCCCGGGCAGGGCAGCTTCGGGCAGGTGCTCACGTTTCCACCCGCCTCGGAGGGTCCCTTCCTGCGGGGGGAGGAAGGATTTGCACAACTGCGACTCCCCCGCCTCCCAGGGCAGGGCCCGGCCAAGGGACCCCCAAACTCGTCGCATCCCTGCAGGGTTTCTCCGCTCGGCTCCCACCGCCCGGGCCGAGCCCATCCCGTGTCTCTCTCAGTCGGGCGCTGGAGCGCTAAAGGAGGTCCTTCAAAATTTATTTTCTTTCTCGACCCCCGAGCCCAGAAAGCGCCGTAAGGCCCCCTCTCAACCTTCGGCTTTGCCGCTAGGGTTTATTTCAGCCGCTCCATGCAAGTTAAACGAGTGAGAGCACCCACCTCAGCCCCGTGAACTCGGGACCCGTGGGCAGCCGTGCCCACCGAGCTGCGGGGACCCGGCTAGCACCAGGGCCAGCCCTGCCTCCCGACGGCAGCCCACGGTTGCTTTGGCTTACTCATCTCTTACCCCTCTATATTTTGCAACACCTTCAACCCGCTCTTGTTTTAGCTTATTTTGCTTTTCTTTTTTTTTTTTTTTTCCCCCAGACAGTGGTAGTTTGTTTGGGGTTTGGGGAGTTTTTTGTTTGTTTGTTTGTTTGAAAAGTTTACAAACAGACGGGAGGAAAACCCAATCGGCATTTCCCTCTCCCAAGCCAGGCAGGGGCTGTTCAGGACCTCTCTCCTATCAGCTAGATTTTGCGAGCGTTGTGTTGCTTCAGAATATCTATATAAACCCTAAGCGCGGATTTCCCCTTGAGCGCGCTTCACACAGCAGTGAACTCCCGCTCTCTAGTTCCTGCGATCGGATATTGCAGAACACTAAAAACGAAACCTCCGTTCCATCACTTAGAAAAAAATATGAAATCAGCACATATTTGGTTGATGGCTTCCTCCCGGCCTGTTTATTTAATCTGACTGTATGATAGATAGCGTCAGATAGGGCCTTTGTACACATTAGGCCGTTCCGCTTTTTTTTTTTTTTTTTTAATGGATGAAAAAACTGAGCGCAGAAAAGCTGGATAAATGCAGTGCCGCCCCTTTAAATGAGCGGAGATGTTTTTGAGATGTATTACTATATTAGGTGACATGGAACTTTGCATCTCTCATACCATCACTGCAATGTTGGCCAATAGAAAGCTAAAGTCACCCAAAAACTGCCTAGTCCCTCCTTCCCTTCCCTTATGGTCTGGTCCTACCTGCCTCCAGTGCACAAGTCAAGGCTACTCGCAGGAATGCTATGTGCCCCCTCCGTGAGCCCACGCTCCACCACTGCTCCAGGTTGGCTGCTCCTCAACTACTTTTCCATGACCCTGGGCTCCGGCTGCTGCCCCGCTCTCCTCCGCAATGTTTCCTAGCCCTGTGACAACGACACCCTTCTCGGTCAAGGATATTTTGAACCTGGAACAGCATCAGAGCGGCCTGGGCTCCATGGAGCTCTCCTCGCTGGCCTCGCCCTCCTGCATGCTGGCCACCTTCAAGCAGGAGACCTACAGCTCTGAGCCGCCGGCCCTGCCCGACCTGCGGGAGGAGCTGCCTGAGCCGCCCCCCCGCCAAAACAGCCGCCGCCTTCCCCGGCTCCTACTACGTGAAAAACTACGTGGAGATGGACTCGGCCAAGGAGGGAAAGGCGGACAAGAAAGGTAAAGCCAAGTGCTGCTGTCCGGGGCTCGCCGGTGGTCCTTGGGAGGAGAAAAAGGGAATGCAGGGGAACGGTGAGCCCCCCCAGTTGGGGTTGAGCGCTCGGCCAGGTGTCCCCAGGGCTGCGGGGGAAGAGGGGACAGCTCAGGGCTGCTACCACCCTCAGGGGCCGGGGGAGAAAGAGCGCGGAGAGCGGGAGCATCTTCATCCCCTCCCGGGCGCTGCAGTGCAGGAGAGGGACAGACCCACCGCGGGGAGCGTCCCGGTAACCCCGGGCCGGAGAACCCCCCGAGCGGGGCCGGGGCCGAGCTCCCACCCCACGGGACGGGTAGAGCTGCAGGAGGATACGCGAGGTCTCGAGTTTGTACAGAAATTAGGTGACAAATCGGATTTCTAATTCGTTCGGCTGAGTGTACTGGAGCCCGTGGGTCGGGCTGGGATTCGATACAAAGCCAGCGCAATAAATACAAAGGCTACGTGATAAATCCAGGCTGGGGCACTGGCGGTCGCGACTCAAGTCGGTGCACTGAGCATTCTTGTTTTCAAACAAACAAAAAAGACGGAAACTTTGCTGAAGAGGTACTTAAAAAGTGGAGCAGGGCCGGTCCCACTGCTGCAGGAGCGGGTCACCGCGGCGGCCTGCGGGGCTGAGGCACACGGAGCCAGGGAAGGGCCGGGGAAGAGCCAGGGCTCGCTCACGTTGTACGCTGTTTATTGAACACTGCTTTATAATTTTTTGCACATTTTTTTCCTCCCCCTTTTTCCTTCTCCCGTTTATTTTGCTGCAGAGCTGTGTTCCCTGCACAAGAGCCTGGAGCAGGAGAAAAGAGACCTGGAAGATCCCGAGCGCCCCAGACAGAGGAAAAGGAGGAAACCTCGCGTCCTCTTTTCTCAAGCCCAAGTCTACGAACTGGAAAGAAGGTTCAAGCAGCAGAAATACCTCTCGGCCCCCGAGAGAGACCATTTAGCGAACGTCCTAAAGCTCACCTCCACCCAAGTGAAAATTTGGTTCCAGAATCGAAGGTATAAATGCAAAAGGCAGAGACAGGATCAGACCCTGGAAATGGTGGGCATCCCTCCCCCCCGGCGGATAGCAGTGCCGGTGCTGGTGCGCGATGGGAAGCCCTGCCTGGGGGAATCTTCTCCCTACAGTTCGCCCTACAATGTCAGCATTAACCCCTACAGCTACAACGCCTACCCTGCGTACACCAACTACAACAGCCCCGCCTGCAACGCCAACTACAACTGCAACTACCCCTCCATGCAGCCCATGCAGCCCTCGGCGGCCGGCAACAACTTCATGAACTTCAGCGTAGGGGACTTGAATTCGGTGCAGACGCCCATCCCGCAGGGGAACGCGGGGATCTCCACACTGCACGGGATCCGAGCCTGGTAGAGCCGCCCCCGCCCCCGGCCCGCTCCCTCCATGGACCACGGCCATAGGGATGGAGGGGCTCCGGCCGCGCCTGCGAGCCGGGCTCGGGACATTTCCAGGCTGCGGGATGAGGACGGTTCAGTGTAGCATCCCGGCGGAGTTCACTGGAGTGGTGGCCATTTACGGGGGGGGGTCTTTGGTATTTTGTGCGGTGGCCGCGCTCCGTGCGGGGCCAGGCGGGCACCAGCGGGGACGACCGGCAGTGCCCGCAGCTCCCGGCCCCTCTCGCTCCCCGTTCCACCTGGGTCTTCACCCTGGTAATTCCCCTCCTTCCTTCCTAAAACCAGCCGGTCATTTTGCTGGACCTGTTCCCAACGACAGCTAGCCAAGCCCAGCAACTCTCTCTCTTCTTCTTCTTCTTCTTTTTTTTTTTTTTTTTTTTAAACTTTTACTCTATACTAATTATTATTGACATCCACATTTAATTTTTGCACTTCCCGTACGGTTCCCGCTGCTCGTCCAGCTCAGCATCTCTCCGCCCCCAGGTCTCCCTGTGCGAGGCTGCTACCGCCGGGCTGGGCTGCGGGCCGGGAGCGGGGCCGGGAGCGGCTCCCGCCCGCACACGATGGGGACAGATCCCCCCACCCCACCCCGGCCGAGGGACACGGACACTGCGGCCCGCCAGGTCCCGTAGGGTTATGCACTAAAACCTGAGTTAGCATGGAAATGCACTGTCCGCCCCTTCCTACGTGTCACCCTTTGCTGTACAAGCTGACGGAGGTCAGCGAGTTGTCATTAAAGAGAGTGGCTGAACCTTGGCGTCCCTGGCGTTCCTTGCGCGGCCTGGAAACGGCGCTTGTATTATAAAGTTTTTCAAAAATAATTTTAAAGCCACTTTTCGAGCTCACGGCCCAGGCAGGATTGCTCTGCACCGCCCGCGTCCCGTCCCCCACGCCGGGCTGGGATCAGGACGGGTCCCGTTCCTTCCCATTGGTGACCCTTTCGCTCCCAGACTCCGGTGCCGAGCGGCTGATTTCTCCCCCACACAGAAAATCAGTGCCAGGGAGGTACCGATATCCTGAGGTTATAAACCAGAGGGAACTGCCCCCAGCACATCCGCAGGAGGTTTCCGCAGCCCCTCCACGTCCCGTCCCCGAACAGGGAGAGGGGCAAAGGACCCCCGCCTGCCCCCAGACTGCCCAGGGGCAGCGAGTGGGACTCCCCACAGCCTGGCTCCTGTCTCTGCTCTCCCTCAGCCGCAGCCTTTCGGCCGCTTTTACAGTAGTCGCTATCAAATGTCAATTATTGGGAGTGAGAAACAACAAACATTGTAATTCAGCGCAGTCACAACATCCTCTGAGTGTCTGAGACTGTCCGGCCCGGTGACAAGGCGATTAGGACAACCTGCAACCCCTCCTGCCTTGGCCATATCGGCCCCATCAGTAAACAGGGATGGAGACAGGGTGGCTGTGGCCCTGGGACATGGGATGAAAGGCTGCCGGTGAATGGAAGCTGCCTGAAGCCTCTATCCCTCCCTCCCAAGGGGACCAACCTCACACACACCCCGAGGTAGGATTGCACAGATAAGGAGCTCCCACCTCCTTCCTATCTCTGCAAATGGAGGAGGAGCCCTGAGTGCTGCTCACAAAGCCCCCAGTGCAGCATGGAGTGTAGACACCTGTCTGGGGCTCAGGGCTGGGCAAAGGGGGGCCTTCTGCCTCTTCCCAAGGAGGGTCTGCCTCGGGGGTACTCACCCCAGAGAGCCACAGGGACATGGGGTCTGTCACAACAAAGGGGACCAGAGTCTGCCAGCCTGAAGCAGGGACACAGGGCAGCCCCACAGCTGTGCAATCCAGGAAGAAGCAAAGGCTACTCCTAATTTGAAACCTCTCCAAGCTGGTATCACTGGCTGCATGATGACTTCTGTCATCTTCCCGCATTGGAAGGACACACAGGCTTCAGCAGATGGTAGAGAGGCAGTGGTTAGACAGAAAATACATGGAAGGGAACAGGAGAAAGCTGGGTTTAAACTCTGCCACTACTGAATGATGTGGAGGGAGTGACAGTTTGGTGCCTCAGTTTGCCTGATCTGTAAAATGGGAACAAAGCTGCCTTCCCACTCCATGCCCCCCGTGTCACCGACAGTTGAATTCTGCCACCGCAGAGCTTGGTTGGGATCAGACCACACAGGGAACCCTCAGAAGGCAGGACAAGTCCTGAGTTAACATGGCAGAAGACATTAAACTGGAACCACTACATTCAGAAGCCGGTTCTGAGCAGGGTCCTTCATTAAGTGTTCAACCAAGATAGACTGCACTGCAATGAAGCTTCAGGAAAAGCCATAGGAAAAAGTAACTCCTCATATCAGCACAGCACCCTTCTCCACATATTCCCAGCATCCTTTCCCTTCCTCAGATCCCTCATTTTCTTCAAGCCTGTTTATTTTCCTCCCATGGTATCTCAGAGCTACAGCTATCAGGGAATCCGGGTGTCCAGTGGGACTTTTCCTGCTCTGCAGGGGCTGTTCTGGGCACCAGGTTTGGGACTGATTTTCAGGACTGCCCTGTGCTCCTTCTCAATGGGGGTGAACATACAGCTCCTGCCCACACTGCTGCTCACACACTCCCCCCCCCATGCTTCCCTACTCCCGGGGGAATTGCATCACGAGCAGATGCACGGCAGGATAAGACATGAGGGCTTGGATCAGCAGCTGGAGCCTTGGAGCCAGTTCAGAAAACGATTTAGGGAGAGGACACAAGCACAGCTGGCTGAGGCCAAGGCAGCCCAGCTCTGGCAGGGGCACCAGCAGCGACGGTTAAAGACCTTCCATAGCTGGATTAACGGGAAGTGCTAGAGAGATACAGTAGGAATTAACTCCCAGCACACTGATTTTGGCCAAGGAGGGCTCAGTCCTCACAGACACACATTGCTACTATTCCTGTTCTCCAGGTCTGCCTCAGCTGCAGCTCAGCAGCAAGAACAACCAACAGGGTCAGGTGGGGGTACAGGGTCTGCCCAGGATTTCCAAAGGCACCAGGGCTGTTGGCAAACCCCACAGCATGGTGATGTGCTCTTCTGAGTCCAGTCCTCTCAACAGCTTAGAAAAACTGAATGCATCAGACCTGACACGTTCCTCTGTCTGAGCCTGAAGTGATTCACATCTCTAGAGCAACATGAAAAGCCTGTGCTTAGAAAAGGTTATTCCAAAGGAAACTGCAGGATAATGGCGTTTCCCCAGGGAACCTGAAATCAGAGATCCTCTCAGTGTTTGGGGGCATGCTAAGGGATGTAGAAAAGAGCTTTTAATAAAGATTTGCACTTGGATTTGATCTCACTCTTTCCTCAGATTTTTTTTGGGGATTACACAGCCTGGCACTGGCATTCATTTCTCTGTTTCAGCACAGCTTTTTTCAGAGAATTCAGTGCCCCAACTTCACCTGAAGGTAACAGGGCAAGTGCAGCTCAGCACTACTTGTCTTCTTGAGACAAACTGCACATGGTAGGTTTGTACAAACTATTTGGAATTTACGCAATTTGTACAGGAACGAGTTGTGAGCTGTAAGGGACTGATATCAAATCCCTTGCCATTACCAGTTTTGTAGGAACTGAAGTAATTGTTTTTCCCAAATAACACCCATGCAGTTCCTAAGTGCTTTTGTGGCCAGAATTTTATTCCTTCAGTTCAAGGAGTTTTCACATCCAAAGTTATTCTCTGGAGTCAGAAAATTGGGAGATACGGTCCAGGTGGAAATTAGTGAAAAGTTTCAGTGTTCCTGAGAAGCCCAGCAGGAAAACAACCGACCAACAAGGCTCTCTCTCTAGTCCCCTACTCCTAATTCATCTCACTGACATCAGTTTAGATCAGTATCAGCAGTAAGTGATTTCTTGTTAATGGGGATTATTAAGAAGAATCAACACCTTTAAAATGCCACTCCACATTGTCTCCAAAGCAAGAAAGGGATAGGCTTTTAGACTGGAGTCCAATTTTTCATTTCTAGGTGGTTCCTTATTGCCTGCAAAGCAAACTTAATGCTACATTTTGATGCAGAAAGAGAAGGAAGTGGAGATCTCTCCCAAGCAGAAGATCAAGCACTGGCAGTACATTTGTGAAAGTTCATCAGTCAAGGTTTATGAAAGTTAATCAATCAAGGTTTAGCAAAGTGACATAGAATATGTTACTTGAAAATCTCTACCTGCCTCCTACAGTCATTTTAAACTCTGCCACTCCAGAGTTTCATTCAATAAGAAAGCCCCACTAAGCAAAAAGATCATCCTGAGCGGTGCATTAGCCACAGGTCTTTCCTATTGTACTGCAGGGACTTGCCCCAGACTGGTGCTAGAATTGCTGGGCTGAGATGAGTAAAAATAGGTGATTTTATCTGCCTTTGCATAAAGGAGTTCAAATCAGATACAAGGCATGTCAGTGGAGTCTGGATGACTAGGTTAAGACAGAAAATAAACTGTTTCCCAGAGACTGAGCAAGAGGAAAAACCAACAGAAGCCCAAGAAGAGAGATGAACCTTCAGAAAACCAAAGCAGGACATTTTTAAACCAGCTCTGCGTGCAAGCAGTTGGTGCACTGACTCCACTGAGACATGTCTGTTAAGTCATCCCTGCTTAAAATAACATTTTTTTGGTGTCAACAAACAATCACAGTCAAATGGCCAAACCACAGGTCTGTAAATCAGGAGACTGGGGGCTTTTCCCAACTCCATTGGAGAGAGGCATCATATTTGCAGCAGGCTCAGCACAGACAGACCTTCAGTCCTGCCCAGCTGTGCAAGTGCAGGGGTTCCCCAACATAACTTCCAGACATCACTCAATACCTGCTCAGTTTGATGCGCTGGAAAAACAAGTTGTCCAAAAGAAAAACTTGTAAGTGGGAAGAATCCTAGGGGCCAAAATAATTTTATTTCTTGGGGTTGGTTAAAATTAATTGGTCTTGGGGAGACATCCTGGAGCTAAATTACTATTTGTGGAGAAGGGCAGGCTGAAGGCATGAATGACAGTACTGTACAGTG